GCCAGAGCCCCAGATGAAGGAGGTCCAGGCCTGCAGCGCAACTGTGCCCCCCAACACCTGTGCAGAGCTGCTTAACCATGGCCGCCAGCCACTCTGGGCTCAGCCAGCCAAAGCCGGGTCAGATGGACACCTCAGGGCTCTGAGCTTAGGTCCCCTCCCAGGGCGCCTCCCAGCCTTGGCTGGATCCTCAACCCAGCTGTTTCCACCTGCTTTGTGGCTTTCAGCAGAGTCCAGGAGCCCCTCCCACCCACACAACAAGAGCATGGTTCCTGTGGGCCCCAGCCCAGAGGCTGTGGGATCACTAATGACATAATGGTAGGGAAAGCCCTCTGAGGATGTGTCTAGGGAGGCCTGGAAAGCAGCCTCATGAATAATACACACCCAGGGTGTGCGGCGGCAGCACTCAGCACTTCCGGGGCAGGGCCAGGAGGGGTACAATTATGGTTTGGGGAGGACTGGAGGCATAGTGGGGTGTGTGTGTGCCCTGCCTGGACCCCACAGCCAGCTCTGGAGCCCACTGGGCTCTCAAGTGCCCACCAGCAAACACAAGTAAGGCAAGGAACACTTCTGTTCCCAACCTTCCCTCCCTCTCCTAGTTCTGGCCCCAACCTGCTTTCCCACATCCACCAGTGGGGAAGCCACCACCACTCTGCACTTTTTTTCTTTTGGCTTCACTACTGAAAAGTTTGGTATTGTCTCCTGAATAATTAATTTAATTATCCAAAGAAAATGATGGAACATTTACTGCTAATTTATTGCAAGCTAACATAATTCTGCACAGAGCCCCAGGCACAGCACAGGGAGAGGCTGCCTACTCATCCTGAGACAAGCAAATGGGACTGACTACCCAGAGATTAGTCAGGGCATTAAACACCCTGATAGATGGGACAGGAGTCTTCAGGCCTGGGATTTACAGGGTGCTTTGTACCAAGCACTGCAGGAGCCTCCTCAACACCATCGAAGCCTCAGGATGAGGGGACCTACCTCTGCTTTCACTGCTAAAAAGGGCCTGGGTGCCAGGATTGCAGAGTAGTGTCTGGACTGCACCCAGCACAGGACGAAGACCCTGCTGCCTAAGCAGAGCAGTTCAGAATGGAGGATGCAGGACAGGGACGTCTTGGGAATTAGGATCCAGTCTCCACAGGCCCCCCAGAAAGAGCAGAATTTATTGTTTCTGAGCACTTTTGAGCTTTGTCACACGTCCTGCCCTGGATACATCTACTCTGATGGCACCTTCTGTGCTTGGCTAGGCCAAGACATCCCCTGCCTCTGCCCACCAGCCAGCTAGGCCTGGTGTCTCCATGCTCCCGTGGAGGACTCAGGACAGGTGCCCCAGTTCTAACCTTGCTTTGTAATCTGGGGCCAATAGCTTCCTTTCCTCCCAGGCACAATGCCTGAACATCTCATAGTCTTTCTCTCTGATGGGATGATGCTTTTGAATGTGCTGCTTAAGCCAGGGAGGATCAGCAAGTCTTTGCATGGGCTCCCCACAAAGATAAAAAACAATCTGAAATCATGGCTGTAGGTCACTTAGCGTGGGCATTTATAAGGCTGCCAGTCAGGCCTCCAGCTAACTAGAACCATCTGTTATAATCAATAGGGTTTTCTGGGTTCCCAGTCTCTCCAGCCCAACTAATGTCAACCAAAACAAAACCCCTCAGCAGGGACAGCACTGAATGCAACCAGGCTGACCATCTCTCTTAAGAGTGAAAGCACAAAGCACACCCAAGGTGGGGATGTCTGGCCTGGCCCAGGCCTGGCGGCAGCACGGCTACCTCACTATCCCAGGAGAAGCAGCCTTGCTCTCTGCCAGCCACACCCACGGCACTGGCCCATCTCCGGTCTCTCAGGACCCATTGCACAGATGAAGAGCTTCCAGCCAGATCCATCTAGGCAGCCAGCCAGAGGATTCCTGCCACAGCCCTCTAATCACATCCATCTCCTCCTTACCCCCAATCATGGGGAACACACTAGGACAGGCTGCCCCCTAGGTTTGCTGATGGGCCTTCCTCAGATACACAAGGGCTCCCAGGGCCAGGGAGCATGGCACTCATACAGACCACAGGGCCTCAGGAGGCCGAGTAGTTGCTTGTGGAACACTTGGGCTTGGACACATTTCTCTGTGACACACAGGAGCAGAAAGTATACCGAAGTTCATGAGTTAAGAATTCAACACTATGCCCTATGCCCAAGGACCAAACAGCTGTGCAGGGCGGTGGTTGCTGACCTCCTTTGTTAGCATCTACGTGCTCTTGTCCACTGGAATCTGCTCATGCTCCCCAGAAGACAAGGGCAGCAACCATGAAAGCTTTAGGAAGAAGTATGCAAGAAAGACAAATGGTACGGTTCTGCTGATGTGCTTTTCCTGCAGATCAAGAGCTCTCTATGCTGTGGTTCTTGAGGTACCATGGCTGGCCCAGCCTCTGAGGTACAACTGTTTCTGGAGGCAGTTTCCCCTGGTTCCTGAGGAAAAAGTCCTCCTAGCTGTCCATGTCTTCTACACACTTACCCCACCTACTGCCACCCTCAGCCTATGTGCCAGCCTGCTCCTGTCTCATGGCCTCAAGGACCCACGTGAGCAGCAACTGTCTCAACACCCATGATCCCAGCCAGGAGACCACTCTCCTGTGGAGACCTAGGCTACCCCAGGCAGTGGCCAGGGCAAATCTCCAGGGTATTTGCCCCAGTTCCCACCCACATAGCAAGCCACATTGCCACAGTGCTGCTGAGAGTACGCAGGAGCCAGGGAAACATGCTCAGGCATCTGCCTAGCTGCAGGGAGGCTGGGCAAGGCCACCTTGGAAGCAACTGGCTTGCCCTGGATTGCTGGGCCCAGGATTATTCATTTTGCCCTCAGAGAGCTGTTATTCCACAAGATGGTCCTACCTTCTTGGGAGTTTGCTAAAATAACCAGGCCACCAAATGCCCCACAGACTATGTGAAGTTAACCAGAGGCCTCAAAAACTCAGGTAGGAAATGCAAGAAACATACACATTGCAACAGGCTGCCTTAATCTCCTCCCTCAACTATTTGCAGAGCCCAAGGGCCAGAGGTGGGGCACGGACCATAGAAACTGCCCATTTGCTTTCCAGGAAAAAAAACAAAACAAAACAAAAACAAAAACAAAAAAAACTACAGTACCATAAATTGTTGCTTCTAGCAAACTATATTTCAATAATTTGCCCTCCCCTTCCTCAACTGCCCTTTGAACGTGTATCCTCAGGGAACCTAATGGGGACTTCTGAGTTGCAGGGGATCCTGCCTGGGAAACTACACCATGACTCTCCTTCCCTACAGGGTCCTGAAGGCACCGCCCATCTGTCATTCTGACCCTGAGGTTGCTATGCAGTGAGTCCCCCAGCCCTTGAGCTGAGATGAAGCAGAACCATAACTTGGAGGTGTCACTGATGTGGAGCCAGGGCTCCTGGCTTTAAATCCTGGACCCTGTTTACAAGCCTTTAGAATGGAGGTGAGTTACAGAATCTCTTTGAGCCTTGAATTTCTCTTCCCCATCTGTAAAACAGGAGGAACAATGGCATCAAACCTAGACCGCTATGAAGGGTTTTGAATATGTAAAGTGCTGAACAGTGCCAGGCACACGGCAAGAGCACTGCCTAAGGAAGAGTTGCCTTCAGTGATGGACCACACATGTGACAGTGGTCCCACGAGGTTACAATGGAGCTGGACAATTCCCATCACACAGTGTATACAACTTCCCATGCTGGCAGCTGTAAGTGTATAGCACAGCCAGTGTAGGTTGTGCGTACACACTCGTGTGCTCACCAGGGCCAGTGCAGCACAGCCCCAGAGCACCGCCCATCACTAAGCTATGTGTTTGCTGTGCTGACCCTGGAAACACTGGCTAATGGGACAGCTGAATGGAGTGGGGACAGGCAGTGGAGGAAGACTGACCAGGGCAACTCAGGACAAGGAACCACACAAGGCCACTGGCTGGGATGCCCTCTCCAGGCCAGCCACCTTCTGCTATGGGCTGGCAGGCTCCAATGTTGCCATGGTTCCTCTGCTTTTAATGGCAGCATCTGAGAGAAGGACACGTGGGTGAGCTGAGCCCCTCAGTTAAAGCTCCAAAGACACAGGAATTAATTTCCTGATGTAACTCGGGTTTCTGCCATCTTCGTTTGTTCTGTGCCCATGTCCCTAACATACATCAAGGTGGGCCAAGCAGTCACACTGCCTGAGGGCCTAGAGCTCCAGGATTCCCACAGCACTGCTTGCAAAAAAGGACCCTTTGCTGCTTTCCTGTGTCACTGAAAGGAGGGTGACACACCCAAGGTCAACTTCTAAAGGTGCTTCACATGAAGGGTCCACAGACATGGCTCCAGATGTCCAAACTCCTCTGACCCTCCTTGATGGGTCACATCTGCACTCTAGTCTCCAGGTGCACCGCTGCCCTCCTAGGACCTTGGCCATTGCCTGTGTCCCCTCCATCCTGGCCAGAGGTGCCCTTCTTGCCTTCCCAACTACATCCCACTTGCCCACAGCTCCTGGTGCCACGTGGATCCTGGCTGTGCCCTGGGGCACACAGAGGTTGCCAGAGGTGACACCGACTATGGCCACTCAAAGGCAGGGCTTTAAACATTAGTGGCCATAATGTCACACTGTTTGTGTATGAGGTTTAGCTCCCTCTCCTTCCCCACTCCTGTTTTATGGACACAGAGCTCATAAAACCTTAAAACTGACAATACATTAAAATGAAAGGAAAATTAAATTTACCTTAAGCCAACTGAATATCCTCAGCGAAGTCAGGTTTGAGCCAGGGCTGCTGTTTTCTGTCAGCTGCAGTATGCTAAGGACCGGAGCAGTAACAGTCACATTAACTGGGCCTTGCAAAGTCTGAGCTTGTGCCTTAATCCCTCACCCACCACCAGTGGACTAGGACAGTTATTCCTGGGAACTCTAGGTTTACAATCTTGCCTAAAATACACCTTCCACAACAAGGCAGGTGAAGAAAAAAGAAAAACTAAGCATATTTCTGACAGTTGTGACAATGTCAAAGTAGTGGCAAGCTTTATTATAGAGCTTATTACAGAATGAGAAAATCTCCATTTGTGACCACAAATAATTAAAAAGAAACACAATTATAGTCCCATTGGAAAGTATTCTGGCTGCTGTTAGGATTTTTTTCCCTCAACTTATAAATTTCAGACTTCAGCTGAATACTTTCACACAGATTTTCTTCTTAAGGCACAATCATGATTCACTTTTTTTTTAATAGCTCAGTCATTTCAGGAACCACCTACAAAAGAACAACAACCAACAGTTAAGCAAGGAATTTGCCTTCCTAAGGTTGGAAGCAGTGCTTGGTGGGCACCTGAGCCTAAGATGACATTCACTGCAGAGCCCAGGTCCCCCACTATGTCCCCTCCCACCTTAACCAGGGGAGACAAGAGCACCTGAGCACAGGGCGCTGTGGCAGGGGCGCTTCTTCTAGATACACTGAAATGGGCTGTTTCTGGCCTGGCTGAGAGAAGCAGTCTTTCTGGCCTGGTATTCTCCCCAGGACCCTTCCCATGCCCTGCACGCCCGACCCCCTGCACAGTTCCCTCCTAAGCCCTCTGCCAGCCAGGCCCTGCCAAATGCCTCCGGGGCTACTTCTCGCACTGTTCACTCACCGAGTTCCACAGGACCTGGGCTGTGTTCTCAGCACACTGTCATTCAGCACACAGAAGTGAACATGACACTTCTGTATCACCACTCATCATTAAATGCAAGGCTGAGGTAAGTGTGGCAGCTGTAAGCACTCCCAGCGAGAAACCACAAGAAGGGAAACTGAGTCCACTTTTCCTCTAAAAATGATCGATTACTAACCCAATGGTTCATCTTGGCGGGTAGTTCAGCACTGCTTTGTAACTTCCCAGACCACAGAGGGGACAATGGGGGAATGACACATGGGCCTCCAGAACACCGGCCCAGCCACCTGTGTACGCTATCAGTTTCCCAGCTTTGCAGAGCTGCCGACGGCCCTTGTGCATGGAGATCCCCGCTGAACTCGGCACTGCTGAATGCAGCTTCTCAATTATTTAAGAGAGCTACATTTCCATTAGGTGGAAATAATGTGCTCGTACAAAATTTATTAAGGAAATTGTCGACATGTTGTTTCTTCCGAATGTCACTTTGTCTCCAGCCTATTAAAAGGCCCATGTTTACCAGGGAGCCACAGGCATTTGCTCAGGGGTGGCATTAAGTGCTGGCACCATGTCCCCTGCCTTCCTCAGTGGAGGGACCATGAGCTCACGCCAGTCGCACGCATAACATGTTGGACCTGTGCATGCCACAAAAAATAGGCTGGAGCCCAGTTTCTTTTCCAGAAGGTTCCAGAACTCCTTCCTGCCATGTTCCCATGGGAGGACCAAGGGTCCCTTCTCACCCATCATTTTATTCTGCTTAGTAGCTCAACCTTGGACTTGCCAAGGAAGCCACAAGAGCTTTCTTACGGAGAAAACAAAGGCTTGCTTCAGTGCACTGTCTGGTAGCCCAGCCGTAAAAAAGACTTGAATTTTGTTTCTATTCTCTTCTGGATACTCCACAGAGAGCTCCCTGCTTGATGAACTCAATTCACATAGTGCCTCCTCATGGAAGTACTAAAGGAGGAGGCAGAGATGGTTTCTGTCACTGTGGGCCTGAGAAGGTTCAGGCCTGATTCTGACCCACAGAGAAACCTGCTCCTAGTCTGGAAAAAGAAACAGAGGCCTACAAGTCACCCATAAAAAAATATTCATCTTTTATTCTGCAGTATAGGAGGATGAGAAGAGCATGAAATGCTCCAAACTTTGAGGAGTTTTGAGGAAAAAAAAAGACCAGTATGAGCCAGCCAGATAGCTCTGCAACTAAAGTGCCTGCTGAGGCAGAGTGCAGCAGCTGATCCCTGGCGTGCCATGCCGACCCTGCCCCCGGGGAGGACTGAGATGGTGACCGAGACTGGGCGTGGTGGACCGTGCCTATAATCTCAGCACTTGGGAGGCTGAAAACAGGAGGATCGCTACTAGTCCGATCTACACAGTGAGACCCTGTAGACCCTGTACTAAATACAAAAAGACCAGTATGGGTTAGAAAAATTCAGAACATCAATGTAGAAAAAAGATCCTAGGCATAACTATTTTAAAATGAGGCAGCCACTGTCCACACAGGCTCTCTGTAGTCACGCGTAGGCTTCCTAAAACTCTACAACTAGTTCTAGAACCTTCAGATGGAAATCAGCTGACTGGATTATTTAGATCCCTCTCTACTTTGCAACCTCTGGATTCTCTTTCACTCAGATAGTGGAGCACATGCCCATACATACATGCTGCCTTTAGTACAGGAGGCATTGTGTGGGGCACCAGACCATCAGCAACCACTACAAAGATGCTCCCCCAAAGGCAGACACCATCCACCAGACGACACGACACTAAGTGTTAAGTTTCTAACACTTAACCTTCATTGATTTGATTTATCTTTTAAGTTTCTCATGTGAGCTGTAAAACAGAGTGTACAGGCAGAGAGAAATACATACTTCAAAACAAACAAAATTATGTAAGTTTATTAGGATACATGCTGCTGAAGGGAGCACAACATAAGTTTATTAAAATATCCAAAAAGTAATTACAGCAGATGCCTATTTGCAAACATTTCAAGACAGTATATCCTTGGGGGGGAGGTGTTAAATTTCACCTTCTTTTTTTTCAGGACTGAGGTTTGAAACCAGGGCCTTCACACTGACTTATATCCCCACCCTTTTTCAACACTTTTTTTTTAAAGTTCCACTAAGTTGCCCAGACTGAGCTTGAATTTGTGGTTCTCACCATACCTAGCTTAATTTCACTTTTAAGTAAGAATATTTACCCCTCTCTTTACACCTAATAAGAAATAAATCCTTGCTTCTAGAACAGTTACTGTTGTGCAGAGATATAGAAAAGCTCTTTTCCACACCAGCTTCCTCTCCCACTGGGGTAACCTAGGGGACCTATGACTGCCAACGCTGCTTGCTCTTACACACCAGACAACGGGAGCAGCAGACCTAACAGAACCCATATTTCATACAGCCGGTCACTGGTAGGGGGCCACACTTTTCCCAAGACAAGATCCAGGAAACTTGAGCCTTACTGAGCACCTCTGAGTAGCTGAAGGGTCCTCCCTCCATCCTTCAAGGCCACACTGGAGGCCACCACTCAACATGGTTCTGTCAGGGGTCTTCACTCAGCAAACCCACTTCTCTAGGTCAGAGGCAACTTGCATTGTCAATTCTCACATGAGCCATCAATGCTGGCAGGGCCAGGTACAGGCCAGGTCATGAGTGAGGACCTTCCAAGGTATGTGTCACCTACAGCTCATTGAGCCAAGAGGACTCAGGTGACTTTCTTCATGGATGGCAAGTGTGAAGGAAGCATCAGGTAGAGGACTGTGGAGTAAGTGTTCTCCTAAGCCAGTGACAGCAAAACATTCAGAGACGAAGTACCCAAACTGCCACCCAAAGCCTACTTATTTATTGCAAAGAATCTGAATATTTGATACAAGGTTGCTGAGACAATCTGGCTCAAGTGCAAACAAAGAGGGCTCTGCATGCCTGCTGTGGCATATGTGCCACAGGTTCACCTCCATTGTCCTAAGGGATCCCCCAGTACAGCCTTCAGCCTTCAGTGTCCAAGCACAAACAGAGTAAGAGTATTTTTGCTGAGCCAAATAACCTGGACAGAGTTCTGTTCTTCTCTGAAGAGCTCAGCACCCTCTGCCAGTGGGGGAGCTCCACAGTATTTCCTCAGTGGTCTGCCAAGTAGGGGTCCAGTTTATAGCACTCGAGTCATGTGAGATGCCAGAGCCAGGTTGCTATCTTAGACAATCTGGATTCCTACCACACAGTAGGGTAACCTAAGTCAGTCAAAGCTGTGCAGCATGATAACAGCACACACAGGGACACAACAGCTCCAAGAGGTCTTTGGATGACAGACAATCTAGGTAAGAAGTCTCTCAAAGTTGGCTTACCTTAAATAAATCTGCAACTATTCCATAATCTGCCACCTGGAAAATTGGAGCTTCTGGGTCTTTATTAATAGCCACAATTGTCTGTGAAATAAAAAGAGCATGGCTTTATGAAGAAAACACCAACACAGATTGATGGCTCAATTTTAACCTCTCTCTTATTAATGTGTCTACCAAATAAGATTACTTTGATGCCTCCATGCCAATATGATAAATTCATTAGAAGTTTCTAGTTTAGAATATGGTAAAACTAGCTGCGACTCACTGCTAGTCCATTTCAGTGTAAAAAGCTAAGTATTATTTTTTAAAAGTTCTCTCGATTCATGAAAAAAAGTTAGATTTTAGATTAACAAAGTAACAAATCATAGCCTTTGTAGTTCCAACCACTCTGTCTTCCACCTGCACCATCCCCTTATTATTTCAGAGCTACTTTCTTGGGTACGTTCTGGGAATATAAGTGCTGTCTTGTCAGCCCGTTGTTAAAAGAGAACTATCTTTTTTTTTATTCCTTATGTATGCAGCAAATATATGCAACAAAATAAGCAAATTACTATATCTCTTTTAGAAACTAACCGTTATCTTACCTCTTAGAACACTAGTCTTAGATATGAAATTATGCCAGATTATTAACAGAATAAAAAAACCAGTTGAACAAGAAAACCAGTTTGGCATTCCACATAGGTATGTCTAGTACCACCAAGTTAAGTTTTGATTCAAATGTACTACTGTTTTTGAGAGTGACTTGTGATCATTAGAATCTCTAGAAGATTTCTGCCCATTGGTATATCTTGAGAAAACCTCTAGTGTTATACATAAGGCACTTTGATGTAGTCTGACCTAAAGAACAGACTACACAACCTAAAAGAGATTTATGCCACAACATCTGAGTCTAGAACACAGTGTGGTCCAGGCTCATGTTCAACATCCTAAGGACAAACATCCTAAACTCTGGGTGTTGTCACTGAGGTGCTTCTTTTATGGGACTGTGCAGCCTGCTTCCCAGTTCCAAGCAGAGCTGACTGAACACATGATGGTTAATGATTTTTCTCAAGGCCACCTAGTCAAATACCTGACAGTTTACTCATCTGAATGCCTTTTTTTTTTTTTTTTTTTTAACTTTAGGGAAGGGTCTCAGGGTGTTCAGGGTCTCACTACTAGATTGGACTCACAGTGATCCACCTGTTCACAGCCTCCCAAGTGCTGAGATTAAAGGCGAGCACCACCACACCCCATCTCAATTGTTGTCTCAGTGTGCCGTGGCGGTGGGACCAGCACAGCAGGCCCGGGGATCAAACCCCTGGCCCATGCGCCTGCTTGCAGGCACTTTAATCCGCTGAACTATTTGGCCAGCCCTGATCTGAATGCTTTTATCTCATGACATAAAAGTTAACTTTATTTTGGGAGGTACATGGGACTTGAACTCAGTGCTTGCCAGGCAGGTGCTTGTGCTGCTGAGCTATATCCCCAAAAGTTAATTTTATTTTATTATTTTTTATGTATTTAGGACAGGGTCTACTGGGTCTACAGGGTCTCACTATGTAGATTGAATTAGTAGTAATGCTCCTGTGTTCAGCCTCCTAAAGCGCTGGGATCACAGGCATGTGCCACCACGCCCAGTCGTGCCACCACACCCAGTCTCAATCGCCCTCTCAGGGCACCCTGGGGGCGGGTCCGGCATGGCACACCAGGATCAAACACCAGCACCTGTGCTCTGCCTAAGCAGGCGCTTTAGTTCACTGAGCTATCAGGCCAGCCCTCCAAAAGTTAATTTTAAAAGACAGCACATAACTGTAGGCAAGTTGCATTAAAAAAAAAAAAAAAAAAAGTTTTCTGGATTACTAAAATAATTATTATTATTATTCTTTTCTTTTTCTGAACAGGGACTTGAACTCGGGCCCTTGCGCTTGCCAGGGAAGCATTTTTTTCTACTGAGCCATCTCCCCAGACCTCTTGGATTACTAAAATTATATTCCTGAATTACCAACTGTAAATAATTATGATAAAATGTTGCTTGTACTCTAGAGTTCTCAGTAGTTCCTTGTGAATTCAAACTTCTAACAGAGCTTTGAAATGCACATTGTAATCAGTCATACCATTATGTATACAGTTCAAACAATGCCTTCATTATATTGATTCATTTGATAAACAATCAAACCTTGCATTCTTCAGTGTTATCACAGTGCTAATTAAAATTGTAGCTTCTAGGTAATACCACTGTCAGACTCAAGCCATTTGAATATCCCATTTTAGAACTCAACCAAAATTATAACTGGAAACTGCCTCCCACGCAAGACCATAGGGGCAGCCTTCTTCATTTAACCAATGCTGGCACCTCATATAAGGACTTAATGAACATTTGGTGACTAGAGAAACAAATGCTGGTTGAAGTTTATTTTCATGGATTATCCCCCAACACTGGACTCCTGACCTGAATGATTCCCTACACACTATCAAGTCTGACTCCTACACTCTAATCTTGTTGGCCTTGGTAAAGAATTTTCACCAAGATCTTCCTGACATGTAGAATCTTGTAGTTAAGGAAGTAGAATTCTAGATGTGTCTGAGCTGGTCTAGCTGAAAATATATTTTAAGGCTGCTGGTGTTGGAAGGTTTTTTTTTTTAATGCATAAACCACATTTTCCCCATTGGCAATGCTGTTTTCAGAGCTCAGTAAAGGAACCTGCCACTCAACTGTGAAATCTGACTGGCTTTGCACCCATTCATTTAGAAGTTACGAAGAGGTGGTGCGTGCATTTCTTCAAGAAGTTAAACCTGTTAAAAGTTTTATTATGCTTTATATCATGCTTCCATCTGAATAGATAAATGCAGGAGTGTCAGAGGCATCTCTGACTTCATGAAAGAGAAGTTCATAATTCAAACTGTACACTGTTATGCATGAGCTACTGTGTCACATTCTGAAATATATGTTCATGGAGTCATTACACAGGACTTTTGATGTAGTCCAAGGGCTGAGTTAAAATCAAGTATTTTGTCCACAGTGCACTTATGACAATCACTAAGGTATTAAGATGGCCTGGTGTGCTAACACAGATGTGTCAGTCACACTTTGGTAGTAATGCAGAAGAATGGCCCTGCTGACATATGAGGGCTTTGCTGACATATGAGGGCTTTGAGGACCCAGAGTGAAGCAAACAGAGAATGGGACCTGAGCCTCATTAAACAGTCAGATGGTCAGGGCCTCATCAAATTGTATAAGCCTCACACTTTGCTCAAGGAGCACTGGTGACCATCATGCAACACTTGTGTTTGGCAGGCAAACTGATGGGCAGGAAGGATCTGCCATGCCATGAGCTGAGAGCTGGGAGCTGAGGTCAGGCTTCCCCAGTACAGCACGACCTCCCACCAACATCAGCAGGAATGAAGAACAGCTTCTGTTCCTTTCAGCTCCAGATCTATGTGAACATGCAAGGTACAACTATGTATGCGGTAACTACATGGAGACATTCAGCAAGGCCTAGATTTAAAAGTGTGAAAACCTTCCCTCTTAGCATCATGCTACTGTGCACAATTACCTTGCTATCCTTCATCCCAGCTAAATGCTGGATGGCTCCAGAGATTCCAACAGCAATATAAAGTTCCTGAAACAAGAGACCACATTAGCATATATTTATACTATATAATACTTTAAGTGTTTGCCATTAGCAGTTTAAATTCTAGGCAAATGATATGCTAAGTAAGGCAGGTACAATATGCACTGCTTAAGTTATTTTTTCTTTCCTAATGTTCTGAACCCAGATCTTCTTCAGTGAATTCCTGCACCAGTGGTGCTATAATAATAGGCAGATGAATATTGAGGATTATTGAGTATATACTATGTACCAAACCTGAGCTAAATATTTTATAGTGATTATCTGTGACATAGCACTCTTCACCTGTGGCACACACTTGGATATCATGTCACAATTCTACCTGTTCACAATACACACACACACACACACACACACACACACAATTATATTCTGGTATATAAATATATATGCTTGAACATATTAAAATAGATTCTGAAGGCCAGCCAGATAGCTCAGCCGATTAAAAAGCCTGATTAGGCAGCCGCAGGAACCGAGGTTTATTCCCCGACCTGGCTTGCAGTGCCGGCCCTGCTCCCCAGGTGGCTGAGAAGGCCATTGAGACTAAGCGTGGTGGCACGCACCTGTAATCCCAGTGCTTGGGAGACTGAAAACAGGAGGATCACACGTCTGATCTGTGTGTGAGACCCTGTACTAAATACATAAAATAAAAAAGAAAAAGATTCTATATTGTTTGCCTTCTTATAAAAGGGTATGTGTGAAAATGGTAAATAGGATATATTTATTAAATTTCTTATATAGAAAGCCTAGAAATACAAATCAGAGAATCAGTGTCAAGAAGTTTTACAGACAAACACACAGGCACATCCACACACATACTTCTTAAAAGCAGGGACTGAGAATGCCCAGTACCTAACAAAAGGCCCCAACTGCAGTTTCTGGTGAATGCTGCTGGTAACATTTGCACCTTTTCCTGTCCCCAGTAATTAGAACAGAATGATGATTGACTCCTGTTACATCTCCTTATCTAAAAATTTTGGAGTACCTATGTTTAAAAATTAAAACACACTACCATGGAAAACTGACTCAACAAGTGTGTAATTAAAAGAGCTTTCCTGCTGTATTCTGTTGAGCAGGTGTAATTAGAGCCTCACCTGCAAGCCTTTCCCACATTTCACCCAACCGACGTGTCCTGGCTTGGGCAGGTGCATTTGGCATGCAGCAGATGCATGCTGTGCTTCTGTGACAACTGACAGCAAAGGCTTCTTCACATGAGCAATGGCTGGGTCACACTGCCTTCCTTCTTTAGATGGCAGGTTTTTTAAAGCCAAAGGGTCAGGGCTTTACCTATCTCAGCACTGCTTGGGCCTAATTAACAGCAGCACACCCCACAGAAAGTGAGCACCTCCACCAGGACCCTGGGGTAATGTCATGGCCTGCCCATACCAGGAGTTTCTACAGCACCTAAGTCTATGTGGCCATATACAAGTCAGTTCCCCTCATGCGGCCTCCATTTCCCAAGTTGTCAGCAGAGCAAGAATAGCACCAGCAGTGGGTATTTTTTTCAAAAGCTCATTGGGATGCTCTGAAAAGCAGCCAGAGCTAAGGAAGCAAAGACAGGACCCTTGGGAGTCTGAACCCTGCCACTCTGCCCAAAATGCTGTTGGGCATCCCTGGCCGTCTCTCTGAAAGCATAAAATATCCCACTGCTTCCAGAGCAGGGTACCTCTGTTACCAGGAAAAGGAAAAAGTCTGGCCTCCAAAGTCAGTTAATCACATAAACATGAGCTGTTTTCTGATTCTGCTTATTCTACACTTATCCCAAATGACCTAAGATAGCTAAGAGCTATCTTATTCGGTTTAGAGATCTTATCTGAGGGTGGGAAGGTCTGTACAGAAATATGATGTAGTGATGAGGATACAAAGCTAACACACGACCCTGAACATATCCGTTGCGTCTGTTGTGTCCACGAGGACTGCTCACACCTGGACAGATGGGGAGGCCCTATTCTCAGACTACCTTTTCACAAATGGACATTCTTTTTCCCTTTGCTGATGCACCACTATTTTCTATTAAAAGTACTGATAACTTCAATTGACAACAGTAAGGTCATTTCAATTTATTCTGACTAGTGTTTCATCTGTAAACAGTCATTAAAATGCAGGTATAGTGGCACCTCTGTTCACAAACTTAATTTTTTCCAGGGTTCTGGACAAAGTAGCTGAATTCACATTCATCAACCACTGCAGAGCTCTCAAACAGAAGCAAAATTTTGCCAACTGCTTTTTTTGCAAACAAAAGCATTCATGAGCCAAGGTATTACTGCGTATGTCCTAACTGAAGCTCACATTCAGGAGAAGCAGGCCAACACATTTGAACACAGAGATTCTTAGAGCAAGTTACTCAGATACACAGAAACCCCACTACTAACCACTCTAGGTGGTTAGTAAGCAAGCACTGGAAAAGATCAATAGTCTCTAAGGAGGCTTCCTGACATACATTCACATGAAAATTCACAAGTCTTAAAAGCTCCATCTGCATCTTGAAATGCTAATAAAAATGTAGATTCACTCTGACAGTAAATATAAACACAACATAAACACATCTACTTTAAACTTGTTGCCCTCCCCCAAAACAAATCCCACTGACCCTAACCATCATTGCACCAAGGAAATAACAGATTCTGGGTCAGAGCCAACTAAGGGCAAGCACTCTGGGCCATCACTACCTTTCCAACTATGTAAGTAACCCTGATGGGTCCATGTGACCAAGAGGACTCTATTTTACTGCCTCACAAACATGGATCCCTGAATAAAAATTCAGAAAAAAAAAAGCAGAAAAACAAGAACCCAGGAGGAACCCAGGGATTGGGGCTGCCCAGCTGAGGGCTGATGCTTCTCTCAGGCAGGAAGAGAGGCTTTCTCCTTCCTTTTAAAAGCACAGACAGGCAAACAGACTAATATCCCAGAATGCTGCCTACATTTAGAAAGTGTTTTTGTATTTCAATAGTAATAATTAGTACATACAGAACTCTCTGCAGATGCTAATTTATGGAGCACTTAGGTACCAGCTTCAAAACACAGCAAGACAATCCTTGCCAGAGGCGCTTTCCTTCCAAACCAGTAAAATAAGTGCCAGAAAAGATGAGAGAAGATGCTGGAGGGGAGGATGGCAATTAAGGAGTCAGAAAGAGTGGGATTAAAGAAGGAACAGACACAGAAAGAGAACGCAGTCCTGGAGCCCATCCTCCAGCTCTGGCAAAGGCTGGAATCTAGTAGGGCAGGACCAGAACAGGTCCAGGTGTCAAAGTGGGGGCAGCTGGGGGAGAGTAGCCCCAGGAGGGAGCGGCCAGCAGCATGGCACTCACCCAGGCAAACAAGTGCTGGAGAAATGAACATAAATATCTTCCACTGCCACAACCTAAGAGACAGGATGGCCATGCACTTGTGCGAAGAACTCTGAGATCCACACTGAACTTGGACGGACACTGTCACAGCTGACGTGGCCTAGTGGGGATGCCAGAGGGGTGCATTGCTATGGTTAAAAAGCCACCCTCCAAAAGCTCCCCACTTAGATCAGAGTCCAGCTTAGCCAGCTGACAGCCAGTTATTTAACTTTTCCCTGCCTTGCTAGCTCATCTGAAAACAGTGACAGTGATTCCAACCTCACAGTGCCACTGCTGAGGCTTCAGTCCTCAGCATCTGTTCTCTCATGGGGAACATTTGTTCAAATATTGATTTGCGCATCCCACTGGCCCAGTCTCAGGACGCTCACGGGCAGCTGAGTAGGTTGTACACTGACAATTAGGGAGGAAGGCAGCAATCTTAATAGTCATTACTGACCTACAGTTCTATTATGATACTCTCCAACAGATGGCAGTACAGGAACTTGTCTTAAGTAAGAGAGGTACTGTAAGGATCTGAAGGGTTGGGAAGCCAGATGCCCCTGTAATTTTCTAACTGTGCCATAACAGACACAGTTCAGTGACATTGGTGAGCTGATTTCCTGTTGTTGGTATTGTTGCTGCACCCTACAGGCATTGGGGGATGACTAAATCTCTGTTCCCTGTCCTGAACAAGCTTACAATTCAATGGTGAGACAGCAGATGAGCTCTGCCCCTGTGCTGCAGCTCCCTAAGCAGTGCACAGGGCTGGGGAGCAAGAAGATGAGGTCTCCACCTTGTTGTCCAGCAGCAGGTGTCCCCTGCTCCTGCCCTTGCCCTCCTTCCTGACTCTGACTGGATGACCAAGGCACATGCCTGGAAATGTCAGGAAAACTGGAAGGAAGGCCTCATGTCTTTCCAGAACTCTAGCCAGTCATCATGAGCCCTACTTCCAAAGCAGGAGGGGCACAGTGCACAGCTCTAGGGAGCTTCCCCCACCACAGGTAACATTTCAGTCAACACTGGGATGCCAATAGAAGGCACTGATAAGGAGCCTGTTCCATTTTAAATTTTTAGTAATCATGTCAAAGTAAAACAAGCAAACTAATTTTAAGAAGATAATCTCCATTTAGACACTTCACATCCAAAGCCAGGCATGGCCTTGTGGTTATGAGATGGGTCGCACATACCCTACCTGATCACAGAAAGGCTTGACCAGGACCTAGACACATAATGTGGGCACTGGTTCTGGAGAAGCCCATCTCCAGGTCGGCTTACACTCAATGAGCCCAAAAGGAAAATCAGCAGTAGACAAGCATTAGAGTCCAAGAGATCCAACAGGAACTAGCTTGAGGAGACAGCCACAGAGCTGAGGAAAATCCAATACACAGGGAGGGAGGGTTGGAGTAGTAGGCAGGCACTCCTGCTTGATATCTAAGTTTATACCCTGCGAAACAACTCTCAAATACCAAAGTTTGTTTCCTAGCCAGTTACACATCTCTTCCTTACAACTATAAAATAACCTAGAAAAATTATCTTCAAAAACCAAAATTCTTAAAATAAGCACCTAATGCAAAGGTGGCAAACCTATGGCATAAAAGCTGTCGTGTGCTGTTTGCTATCACTGAAGTTCTAAAAGGTTCACCATTGTCTTAAGTTACTTTTTCT